AATCGAAGATATGTGAATGGATCGGCGGGAAAGATATCAGGCGGGAGTGAAAATTTGGGAAGTTCTTTTTAGAATTGTTTCGTATCGTGAAGACCATTTTTCAGTTATATTTTCGATAGCTTTGTATACTTTGACAAAATGAAAGATAATTTTTTACTTCAAAAAAGAAAATAAACATGTCAATATTCGCTTTTCTGAAAAAAGGCTTATACCGCGTTTAAATGCTGTGTTAAAAAGCTTAAAGTTTGCCTGTCTGTCAGTCTGTCCTATCCAATCAGAAATCAGCATTTCTAAAATTAATGAAATTGGTCGATAGTTGCTAGAAAATGATTACTGGTAGGGTAATCGAGGTCGGGGAACTTGAATCTGAGGTTAGTTTTAACTAATTATTAACTATCTGTCAACTAGACATAAATTATTAATATGCAGAGTAAGAGTCGAACGAAGGGTAATCGAGGTCGAGGATCACGAATCCGAGGTTAGTGTTGATTAATTAATTATTAGTCTTTCATTAACTAGCCACGACTTAAACATCCATTGTCAGAGTACACCGAAGGATTTCTGACGTCGGGAAATTCGAATTTAAGGGTGAATTTCGTCTTATTCGCTGAGCCTGGGCTTGTTCCTTCCTCTTTACAAAGGAAATATTTTTCTTTATCTGTTCTAAAATCTTTTGTAGAAGATGGTGAGCTGAACACCATTCACGGACGTCATGTGTACAAAGATAGTAGCTCAAGAACTTACACGAAAAGATCTAATGCATTGTACATAATGATGTTTCTAATTCAAGAAATCCGAAAAAGTGATGTCAGCTTAGTATCATCTTTGCTTTGTAGGCTACATATATCATGTCTTTTTGTGGGAATTTAGTAGAAGTAGTTCGCAAAGTGATGTACCCGTCGGTGAAATTCCATCTTAGTAACTGCAGACGTGTGGACTGTAGAAACAGTATTTTGAACACATACAGCACTATGAAAGATGGTCGTTTCGAAGCAAATCATACAATAAGACTTTCTTATCTAGTTTCTTTGGGTAGTTGAATGAAATAGAAGATCATGACTATCGAAGCGACAATAAAAGAAAACCCAATCGTTCAGTTTGGAAGTTGATCAAAAGCGAAAGGAATAAGAGAGACAGCATGGAAACGGCTAGATTAATCCTAAAGTGTACGCTTCGAATAACCTTGCCAGGCTTCAGATAATTTTTAAAGGGATTTGACGAATGGATCTTCCTCAACGAAAATATTCGACAAGGTATAATTTTATTGACAGGAGAGAAAAGAATCGGTTTATCGCTGGAAGACACAGGCGAATGTTCAAATTTTTCAAGTAGTCTACCGTATATCATCCGTCTATGAGTGAGTTAGTAAAGCATTTATGAAAATTTCCGTTCGTGTGGTGTGAAAAAAAAAAGATGACAAAGGTCAATGGTTGGCCGTGAGTGGCTGTCTGACTAGCCGTTGAGCGATGAATTTTCGAGTCAACATAGTTAGTGCTGGAGAACTATTCACTAACAAATGGCTAATCGGTTTGATTCCTAAAAACACTTTTGCATCCTATTCATTCTAGTGTGTGACATAGTGCCATCATTCAGTTGAGCACTAGTAGCAACCGCAGTGCGTTTTTTTCTCTTTCGAAGTCTCTGAATTTGTTCAGCATTCGGAAAAGTCTTTCAGAAAAGGGTCAGCGAATTCAAAGGATGAGCGTTACTTGTTTTAAATACAGAATTTACAATGACATCGGACTGACCAAAAGTTAGTAGAACATTAAAGATATCGGAAGATGTAGTGAGATTTCTTATCTTTAATTAGATAAGAAAAAAATCTATCATATAGTACTTCTTATGAATTGTTAAAAAACAGTCAATAACTATGTTTTTGAACATACGCTGATTCAGATATCTACAAACTGTTGATTAATAAGTAAGCATTAAACATGAATTTGAGTTCAGAACTGACGTTACCGACACCCTCCATTCTTTTCAAAAGAAATATTATCAAACTTATCTGTTTTTTGTTGTCTTTCGAACTTTTTCATTTTTTCTTTGAAAGTATCTACTAATTTTCATCATTTCTTCTTGTCGAAATCAGTATCCTTTATGTCGATACATCGCATTCGTACAAAATACGAATAATATTTTTCATGAGAATATATAAATATATGCGTAGGTGGAATTATAGTTCTACTGACAGAAATGTGACTTCGCAATAGATACTGTCAAAACTAATAAAATAATTTTTTTTTGAAAATATCTTGTATGACCAGATTTGAATCATATGACTTCTTTTATTCTTTCTTCTCAAACAATTCCAAGATGTAAAAAGAAACTTTCATGAAAAACCAAAATGAACCATTATTTTTGAAAGTGTATTTGGAGTTGTTGACCTTGAGCAAGAAATTGACTAAAACCAATTTCACCTTGCTGAAATTTTGTGTATAACTCATGAACTGCGGTTTTGAATGCCAAATCATTATTCTACAGAAAAAAGAGTATGAATGTACAATATAAACTTCATCTACTTGTTCTTTCTCGGACATATTGTTATTCGATAAGATGACGTTTTCTTCGTAATGATATGATCGAGAGAGAGAAAAAATTATATATACTCAATGCAGGAGAAAGAAACAAAAAGACAATATTAACGGATTGGGTGAATGTCGCTGGTGATTGTCAACGCAGGCGACTAACGTCGAAAACACAGACATACAGTCAATATAGCCAAATTAAAATTTTCTTTTTCTTCTTTTAACAGATTAGCAAAGCGGTGTTTTGATTCTGACCTTTCGTTTTCATATGTCAACTTTATACATACGAGGAAAAAACTTTCTAGGAGGAGATTTTGAAACAAGATACATACTTCGGCGTCTAATTGAGTATTCCTCTCCATTACAGTAGTGTCAAACTCCAAACTTCAATTCAACTAGCAGTTTGAGTATTCCTGCTGACCGGGCCTTCCGTAGCGTCCTCATTTTGTCAAACACTTGAGTACGAATAGTTGAATACTCGAATTCAAGTTTCGAGTTATACATATATATGATCCATTGAGGATGATGACAAACCAAAAAGATTAGTATTCACTGCTGTTTTTGCCGATTGTTGAAAAGTACTTGATGAACTGTTCGAAACAGAAGTAGATTGACCATCAACATGACTTTCATCGTCATCCATCTAGTTTAATAAAAAAGTCCAAATAAAAATTTGAATTTATTCTTACTTCATCCCTTATATCAATAACGGCTGCATCCAAAACAACAAGTATATTGATTTCCTGCACAAAAGAATGCTAGATATTATTTAATTTAAGACCCACTAATGAACCTTTTGTCTTATCAATTTTAGGAAAATTATAACCATCGAAGGGTCTAATAATAGAATCTGTTACCATCTAAAAAACAGAACGAAAACATTCTCACCACGATGTATACATGCATGGTTTTTTGTTGTTGTCTGAAACATAATAATTCTTCATGATATTATCTAAGCTCTTGGTTTTCATTTCATTTTACTATGTATCCAGGCATACGTACGTGTTGACACACATGAAAATCATATTAATATACATAGAGGATATATATACTAGTGCATGTGGAAAGAAGACACAAGATGGAAAAGAACGAAAGAAAGACCTGAACATTTTATCATATTATTCTATCTAGAAAACAGCCAAATTTTAACCTATTTAATTGAAATCGGCAAACTTTTGAGAGTGAAGATGATAGTAAACTGCGGATGCCTTTACCTGAGAGCCCGGTGGGATCGAGTTATTTTGTGCCGATTCCGTTTAGACCCGATTTTCTAAGTCTATCCTAATTCATTTGAAAATATATATTGCGAACGCAAAACAAGTTGATAAAATTTCACTGTATTGCAATTTTTCAGTTAAAAAATAATTCACAAGCTTATATTTTAACATCTAGAGTAGGATCAATCAGAGATCTTATTAAAATAGTCGATTTAGTTGGAATAAAATAAAATCCATCCCAATCCCGATAAATTCGGGTAAAAGCAAGGATCGGGTTAGTCCCGCCGGACTCTACTTCACCTACCGTCATGATGGACGGAGATATAGTATTTATCTCTTACGATTACCTTCCTCACTCAAAAATCGATTTCTTTTTCTGTTCGGTGTAATTCTACGTGGAAGCAGGTGATTCTATTAATACGTGAAAGGTATGTTAATGCTATGGGTGTGATGGTGTGATGAAGGTTCCAGTTTAATTCTTCAAGGTTTTTGGAAGAAATACATTCAATACGAACTTGAAGTTATTCTCGCAGATTTTTCAGCCATGTTCATTTTATCGATTCAAATTGTTTTTTTTTTGTTTGAAAGAGCATCTGAAGATATATAACTTCATAGACTGTTTGTCTATAAAATCGCTCACAGTTGCAGGAAGATTTTCTCGACTCATCCTGTTTTGAAAATAAGATGAGGTTAGATATGCGCATCTCTTCTAGCAACTTGCATCCTTCTAGTGTCACCCACTGTATTTTCACACTCGTACATTTATCCTCAACTAAGCAAAATTTTATTGATTGATCAAGTAACTGCACAGGTTGATAAAAAAACGGATAAAATTATTCAAGAAAATTTATGAAACAATCTGCGCAATCAAATAATTTTAACAACTCTACATCGATTAAATAGAATTATAAATATTGATGGATTTTTTTTTGCTACTACTAATGATATTTAATTGTAAGCATTATTCACATCAACTTCATGAAATTAGTCTTGAACTAAAATACATAATGGATGTGCAAGCAATTGTTATATCTTATAAACGAACAATTTATGTAGATACTGTCTTACATAAACACTCTATCTTTCTATCCCCTTTCTCCACGATATCATCCAAGTTGAACTACCACAACAATAAACACTTGTCACACACCGAGAGTTAGCCTTATGAGAATGGTCACTTCGTTATTGTCATTCGGCGAAATTTCTCTTCAAAACGGACGATGATGCCTTTGTTAATCTCGTTGTACTTCTCAAATTCATGTCGCCATTACTTCATAAACCAACGAATAATTCGTTTCGCATCGCAGAAATGGCTCTCTATGGAAATAAACATTACAGACCGACCGTTTTTCGACAAGCGAATGATCCTGTTGGCGCCCGATATGTTATCACAACTGATGAGTATCCGTGTCCCACCTATCCGGACTTTCTATTCGGCTTCGGCTATCTAATACCGGAAAAAGCACGAGATGCTCTACTTTACACTTCCTACCAAGATCCCAACGTTCCATTTCGAATCTCAGATGTTTATATGACGTATGTTTGTTACAATTCACATTTTGCTTGTCGAAAAGTTGAGTTTTTGTATAGTGGAATACTTCCAGACTATCTATCACTTCCTCATTCGTTATCAAGGTAATTGTGAAGGATTTTTCAGTAATCCCAAAGCGATGTTTTCGGCAATTTAACTCGCGCACATGTACGTGTTCGATAGTTGTACGAAGTTAATTCAGTATTTATTGTAATTCGGAAAAGAAAGAAGATCAGACAACTATCCGATACGATCAAGGTTAGCCTACCAGTTGATATGTTAATATAGACTAAATATCGATATATATATATTTGTTTTCTTCATGGTAGTGAGGCATTAACAATTTACACACACACGCACACATCAGAAAAACATGACTATTCTGTAAATAAAAGAAGAGAGAAAAGGTCAGGCGAGCG